TAGGAACATAGATGGAAAAGTCACGCTACCAGAAAAACTAGTTTAAAAATTATCGCAGATAGGGCCGGGGATTTAGCTCAGTGGTTTCGCCTCCTGCTGTGCAAGCTCAAGAACCCAAGTTCGATCCCCGGTACCAAAAAAAGAAAAAAAAGAAAAAAATATCGCAGATATCAGTCTCTTACTGACAGGCCTGCTCGGTTATGACTATTTCACGTCTACTTTGTCATCCCTCCTGCTCCTCCATGTGCTTTCTAGAAGCCCCACCACCTAGCTGGTGTGTAGTCCCCGGACCAGCACCACAAGTGTCACCTAGAAATCTGTGAGAAATGAAAATTCCTAGGCCCCATTCAGGCCTGCTGAATGAGAAACTGTTTTAACAAGCTCTGCAGGTGATTCTGATGCATGAAAAAGCTTCACGAGATAATCTAGTCTCATACTTCACTGAGAAGCTGTTGTCCAGAATGCAAGCTCTAAAAGCACAGTGGTTTTTGTCTTTTTTGTTCCTAAATACCCTGAGTTTTAGAACAGTGGCTCGCACAAAGCAAGCCTTAATATTTGCTGAATCAAACCATTAAGTGGGAATTCCCTTCTTTACCTGCTAACTAATCTAGAAACTTAACTGTATCTGTACCAGTTGTTTTTTTTGGTTTTTTTTTTCCTTCATTTTCCAACTAAGAACATGTGTCTTATCCTGTTAAAGGCCAGTATTTCCTGACCTAGTATTGATTTCTATCTAAAATGCCCTCCCAAAGCCCCACGAGTGTGGAAGGTGACTGGATTGTGGGGTGCTGTAGTCATCAGTGGATTCACCCATTGGTGAGTTCGCAACTAAGTGCACTGGTAGGAGGTAGGGCCTGGTTGGATGTGGGTCCCTGGGCTGAGGTGGAAAGGTGTATTCTTGTCCCCAGCTGCTCCTTTCCCTCTGCTTCCTGGCTGCCATGAGTTGAGTACTTTTACCCCTGCCATCCTGTTTCTGCCTTGGATCCGGCTGAAAAATGAACTGAGACTGTGAGCCAAAATAAACCTCTCCTTTGAGCTGTGAGTGCTGGGTATTTGTCCCAGCAGCAGGAAAGTGAGACATGTAGACTGGATTTCATTCTTTCTTGCCTTCTCAAGAACTTTGCTCCTTTGGCATCCTATCTCTCTGGCATTATTTATCAATCTTTCTCTGTTGATCATTTTATTTTATATACAGTCAGACTCTTGACTGTTCTAGAACAAGAGCAACAAACTTTCCCTGTCCCCATGTCTCTGTCAGTTACTATCCCACATCTGTTTTCCCTCTGTGAAAACCACCTTACCTTCCACTAACCAACTCATTCTGGTCTATTTAACCTCTCCTATTCAGTGATTCTTGACAAAGCATTTAAATTCTATTCAGTGATTCCTGACTAACCCATTTAAAATGTACACTTCAATGGCTTTAATGTAGTCAGTTGTTCAACCATCATCATAATTTGTCTTAGAAAAATTTCCTCTCTCCAAAGACACACACTTGCCTGCCACTCCTGAGCTACCTGTACTCTCTATAGATTTGCCTATTCTGGACCATTCATATGAATGGAATCCTGCAACATATGGTCTTGGCTTCTGTTACTTACCATAATGTTTTCAAGGGTCATCCATGTTATAACATATATATAGTGCTATATTTTTTGTATGGTTGAATAATATTCCCCTGTAAATATACTGCATTTATCCAACATCAGTTGATAGACACTTGGTTGTTTCTACTTTTCAGCTATTATGAGTAACACTTCCATGCACATTCACGTACAAATTGTTTATTTCTCTTCAGTGCTGGGGATTGAACCCAGGGCCTTGCTCATGACAGGCATGCACTCGGTCACTGAGCTACCTCCCTGGAATTCGTGTATAAGTCTTTGTATGGATATATTTTATTCCTCATGGACACATATCTATGAATGGAACTGCTGGGCCTGATGGTAACTTTATGTTTAAAATTTTAAGGAACTGCCGAAACAGCACGCCATTTTACATTTCTACTTAGCAGTGTATGGAGAATTCCAGTTTCTCCACGCAGTCACAAGTCGTTATCACTTGTTCTCCCCACCTTCCATGCCGGGAACCACACTCAAGGCCTTGTGCATGCTAGCTAAATGTTCTACCACCGCCCCCAGCCCTCAGATGACACATTTTGAGTTAACTTTTTTATATAGTGTAAGGGAAGGGTACAGCTAGATTCTTTTACATATGTAGATCCAATTGTCCCAGCATTACTTGTTGAAAAGATGGTTCAAAAAAAAAAAAAGAAAGAAAGAGAGAGAAAAAAGATGGTTCTTTCCCCCACTGAATTGTCTTGGCACTCAGCATTGATTTACATACTGTTAGATTCAGTGTTCATTTTTTCACTTACCTTATTTGACCTCCCTGCCAGATTAGCATCATTGACAATTCCCTCCAAATAGCCTACTCTTTGTTCTTTTATTTATCTTACCTTTTTTTTTTCTTTTGAAACATGGTCTCACTATGTAGTCCAGGCTGGCCAAGAACTCAGTATGTAACCCAACGTGTTCTCAAACTCATGATCCTCCTGCCTCAACCTCCGGAGTGCTGGGATTATAGGTGTGTGCCTATATAACCCTTTTATCTTGTTTTTTCTTTTTAGTCTTCATAGGTTCTTTAGAGTCTACCAAGATTGACTGATTGATTGATTTTGGTTTTTTGAGACTAGGTCTTACAATGTAGTTTTAGGCTGGCCTTGAACTTGCAGTGATCCTCCTGTCTTAGCCTCCCAAGTGCTGACACCATGCCCAGCTATACCAGGGTTTTAAATGTTGAGTTTTCAGTTACTGTGTGACAAATTGTCATAAAACTTAGTAGCATAAAATAATCATTTATTATGTTTTTTGGGGAACATGAGCTGCTGAGCTACATTCCAGCCCCAATCATTTATTATGTTACAGTCTCTCTGGATCAGGAATTCAGACTGGGCAAAGCAGTCAGCTTGTCTCTGTTCCATGAAGACTAGAGCCTTAGCCGAAGGAAGATGCAGGCTAGGGAGGGACATCATCTGAAGGCCCGTATGCACTTACATGCCAAGCAGTTGATGGTCATTAGCTGAGGGGCAAGCTCAGCTCATTCCCACAGGAGCCTGTTCATGTGGTTTCTCCACGTGGGCTTCCTCATAACATGGTAGTGGAGTGCCAAAAGGGAGCTTCTAGAAGGAGAGAGGAAGGAAGGACGATGAAGCCCAAGGCCATGTGGCCTCTTACGACCAAATTTTAGAAGTTATAGAGCATTACTCTTGTCACATTTTAAAAGTCAAAGTAATCCTGTCATCTCAGTACTCAGGAGGCTGAAGCAGGAAGATTGCTGTGAGTTGAAGGCCAGCCTGGACTACATAGCAAGGCTCTGTCTCAAAAACACCCAAAACCAAAACAAAATACCCCATGCGGGGCCGGAACTATTGCTGTGCCCTTTGTTTAGAAAAACAAACTGCTACAATATTTTCTGGCCACACACTTTACATCCTTCCCACGTGCTCACCCTCTCCTCTAAGGTTCCCCAGATCTCATCCCGTTATGTCATCAGACCCAAACTTGAGGTTCAAGATCTCAAGGAGGACAGGCCTAGGTGCAGGTGAGAGTCTCTGGGTATGATTTCTTGATTACAACTCCTTGACTAAAGTTCTTGACCTGAAAACATATGAATTAAAGAGGCAAATACTCACTTTCCCACCATACAATGGTGAGCCATAGGATAACCTTCCCATTCCAAGAAAAGGAAGCCAGGAGGCACAGTGGAAGTCACTGATCTAGAGCAATTATCTTTCTGTTTCTCCTGTGAGATCCTTTTTATTCCTGTACCTTTAAATACCACCCGTACATTCATGACTTTCAAATTCTCTGAGCATCACACTACGAGAATGTCCACTTGACCATTTTAGACCTTTACTAAAATATCTCACAGATATTTCTAATTTAACATTTTATTTATTTATTTTTTGAGGCAAGGTCTCCCTATGTAGTTCGGGCTGACATTGAACTCACAGCACTCTTCCTGCCTCAGCCTCCAGAGAGCTGGGATTATAGGTGCGCGCCACCATGCCTGGCCCCCACCTTAAGATTTAAAAAATTAACTTTTACCCCTTTTCCTCTCCTAAGCTGTTCTTTTCCTGGTTTTCCCATCATTGTAGATGGCCCTACCAGTTCACTTAGTTGCTCAGACCAAAATCCAGGGCTCAGTCTCCTTCTCCCTCCCCTCTCCTCCCCTGCCCTCCCCACCCTGCCCCACTGTACCCCTCTTGCTCGTCTGTCTCTCTCATCATTATATCCAATAAATAGCAAGTTCTGTATTATTTTTCTCCAAAATATGTTCACTTTTTCTTCTCACCCGGACTATAACAATGTCTTTACCGGTCATCCTCCTCCATTCTTGCTCATCTCTAATTCCCTTTAACACAGCAGTCAAAATCGTCTTCATTCATATGTATGGCTACCACACTTTTACTCAAAATTGTCTGTGAATTCTCATTACCTTTCAAGTAAAATCCAAATCCTGGTCCATAGGGCCCATGTAACTGGCCTTGCTTGTCCCTCTGATCTTATTCCCTGCCGCTGTGCCCCTTAGCCTTATGCTTATCTTCTTTGGGCTTCTTTCAGTTGCTTCATGTACCAACCTGTCATAAAGGGCTGTATGCCTGAGGTGTTCTCTCCTGACTTACCACTTCCACGTGACTGAGTTTTTGTCCTTCAAGTATGGCATTCCTGACCATTCTGTCTAAGTAGGTACCACCTCTCTATTATTCTGTCACTATATTCTGTTTGTTTCCTTTACAAAACTTATCCCTCGGTCAGGGGCCATCTCTGTGTCATTCACCAGTACATATCCAGTGCTTACCACCTGCTATGCTGTCAATAGGTACTGTTTAAAGATAATTTTGTTTTGAGATAATATAATTAATGTAATTATTAATAATGATAAATGTATTACTTCCTAATTCTTATTGAACATGGTCTTTTATTTTTCTCTTTCAGTAACTGTCCTTCCTTTTTGGCTGTGGCTTTGGCCAGAGCCACATCAGATGAAGTCCTCCAGAGTGATCTTTCTGCACACTACATCCCCAAGGAGACCGAGGGCTCAGAGGGCACTGTGGGTGCGTACCCTTCCACATGATCTGCTGTAAAATACTAAAATCTTCTCGTACATAGTGCTCCATAGGAAGTATCTGTAAATTCTAAATCCAATTGTATTTACACAGTAGTTGATTGTATAGTAGTAGTAGAGAAAAAATACAGTTTTTAACAATAAGTCAATAAAAAGAGGGAAGAAGACAAAATGCAAATGAATTTTGAAAAGTAGTACTATATATAGAAGGTAATTGGAACAACAGGAAATTGTCATGAATAATATATGGATAAATGGAAAAAGTAAAGAGGAAACTATAAATGTACAGCAAAGGAGATAAATGGGTAAGTGTAGGGCAGTTGAGCAAATCTATTTAAAATTTTTAGGTTATCTTTACAAATGCAAGTAAAAAGTCAGATGTAAAAATAAGAAAATTTAAGAAACCTTAATTATATTAAATACCATATCTAACAATAAATAGAGCATATGACAGATATGTAAGATGTGATTTAATTGTATGGATCACTGCACATCTTATTTTTCCAAGATGATTATGAGGTTCAGTTTCTTTCTTTTCTTTTCTCTTTTTCTTCAGTACCGGGCATCAAACTCAGGACCTTGCACTTGCGAGGCAGGCACGGCACCACTCAGCTAAAACCCTGGCCCTGTTTCTAGTCCTCTCTTCTCTTCTTTCTTAAAGTACTGGGTATTGAACCTAGGGCCTTGCAGCTGCTAAGCAAGAGTTCTACCACTGAGGCACAGTCCTAGCCTTTCTATCTTGAGACTTACTAAGTTACCCAGGCTGGCCCTGAACTTGTAATCTTCCTGCCGCAGCCTTTTAAGTAGCTGTGTACAGAAAGGCAGCACCACACTGGAGAGAGACTCAGTTTCTTGGTGAAGGCATATTTATTAATGTATTAGGTTTTTACATATTCAACAGGACTTAAAGATTTATAAAAAATTACCCCCCACCTTGGTGCTGGAGATGGAATCCAGGTACACCCGCATGCTAAGCAGGTGCTCTACCATTGAGCTTCATCCCCAGCCACTACCTAGAAATTTAAAGAAGTTATTTGTTCTGTTTAAAGCATTTGCCTATAAACATAGTACATAAGGAATACAGCATTTATTAATGAACTGGAATAGCTAGATTCCAAAGAATGTGAGGAAGATATAAAAATAAACATTCCTCCTCTTCCTTTATCTTTCTAGATTTTGACAGAAAATTGTCAAGGAAGGAATTATTCTGTTTTTACTGAGTAATTTATTCACCTGGAACCAAACTGTTCCAGAGTCAAGTTGGAAAGAATCCCTGCTACAAAGGATTGGTCTTTCCTCTGGAGCTGACGCATGTAATGAAAAGATGAGAGAGATTAAATTCTGCTTCACTGCAGCCAGGGTGACGGCTGACTCAGCTCCTGCTCAGTACAATGGCATTAACGACTGATGAGTAATGTACAGCTGTGAGGGGGTGGGCTGCTACTGGGACGACTTTCACTTTTTCACTCCCCCTTTTTATTTTTCCATTTCATGTGGCAATTATTTATATACTGATGTCCCATACCACTCACTACAGGAGAATATTTAATGTAGCAAAACCAAAGTGCTGCCCTTTGTGCCTACTTTGGAAGAATTTTTGGAACCCCATAAGGTAGCAAATGTGAAATGAAGGATTTGTGGTTTGATAGATATCATCAATCATTCTGATTTTGTATTTTTCCAAGAGATTACTCAGTAATGTCTTCATGCTATTGCCATGATTCAGACTATACTAAAATTCTAATTTTCAAATCCTTATCTGCTTAGCCCAAATCATTCAGTGTCAACTGCACTTCGGAAAAATATCTACAGGGAATCTATTGTTTATCTGTACATTACAGTGGGAAATGAGCACACCAAATAAGGCCCGTAGTCATTGGCTTAAAGGTCCTCAACTCCCCACAGAAGTGCCTTTTTATCCCTCTGTTTAGTTGTTTCCAAAAACAGACTTTAAGAAAAAAAAACTTTAGGGCCAGGGATTTAGCTCAGTGGTTTCGCCACCTGTTGCACAAGTGCAAGGACCTGAGTTTGATCCCTGGTACCAAAAAAAAAAAAGATAAGAAAAAGAAAAAAAACTTTTAAAGTGCTTTTCATGTTTGCGTCATTCCTAAGAGAGTGTTCACTAAGTGACCTTGCAAATCTGACTTGGTACAGATTTTATTGGTAGGTAAACTCCTGTCCAGACAGCCTAAAACCAATTTGAAATACTGAATGAAAATTAATAACAGGGAAACCAAAGCATGGTGGGGCACTCCTATAATCTCAGTACTCTGGGAGGCTGAGACCAGAGGACTGCAAGTTCAAACCCAGCTTGGGGAACTTAGTGAGACCATGTGTCAAAATTTTAAAAATAAAAATAAAAAGGGCTTGAGTATGTAGCTCAGTGAAGAGACCCTGGGTGCAAACCGTAGTGCCACATACACACACCAAAAACCAAAAAACAAAAAACAAAAAAAAACCCAAGAAGGGAAAATTATCGCTAATATAGAAGAAATTAAAAGAATTATAAAAAATTTGTGTAAAGAAATTTGAAAATCTGGAATTTCCGAGAAAAATATAAACAAAGTTACCTAAGAAAAGATTGTAAAAACTGTCAAGGACAAAAGCACGTGGAATAAGTGATTCTTTAGGTGAACATTTTCAAACAAAGAGATAATCTCAATGCTTTTTTAAATGAATATTTTAATTGCACAGAGAAAAAAATATTTGCTTAACACTTGTACCAAAACCTGCTTAAGAGCAGGTGTGATAGCACATGCCTGTAATCCCAGCACTGTGGGAGGCTGAGGCAGGAAAATCTTGAGTTTGAGGTCAGCCTGGGCAATTTGGCAACTTAATTGAGACTCTGTCACCAAAAGAAAAAAAAACGGTCCTGGATTCAACCCCTAGTACTGCAACAAAACCAAACCTCAACTCACAACTGTACATTAACTACAATATTTAATTCATTCAGTGAGTAATTTATTGACGCCCTACCATTATATACTCCTGAGCTTTTTCGTTGTAAGTGACCATAAACACAACTCAAATTGGCTTCAGCAAAACAAGGTAAGGGCCATATACCTACCTTGAAATGCTGTCAACAGAACCTGGCATTTCTACAACTCCTAGCTATACTGGCTTTCACTTTGATTTGATTACCAGGCTTCATGTGATGGCAAGATGACTGCTAGGAGCACTATGTCTTCATTTGCCCAAATTAAAATTGAGCAGGAAAACAGGAATAGCTTTTCTCAGTTGCTTTTACTTTACCAGTTCCAGGATCACTCCATTGGCCAAATTTGGATAGTTTTCCATTCCCGAATCATTCACTGTGACCAGAGGAATGCAGTTCTTTAGCTGAACCACATGTTTTACCTCAAGATGCACTTGGACTAAGAGTAAAATAGAGCATTTTCCTAGATAGCAAATAACATATTAAAGCAAAGTTTTGATTGAAAATAGCAAGTGGATAATCAGCAATAAAATGATTAAACATGAAGAAGATACTTGTGGTAGTGTTTCTGTAATCCTATTTACACAGTATGCTGAACCAAGGAGGATTGCAGGTTTGAGGCCATCCTGAACAATGCAGAGAGGCCCATCTCAAAAACAGGAAGAACTGGGTTGGGAGTGTGGCTCAGTGGTGGAGCAGTTGTCTAGCCTGTCACTCGTGGACCTGGGTTCCATACCTAGCTCCGCAAGGAGGGGAGAAGAGAGAACAAGAAAAGAAAAAACGATTTTACCTATTTGTGAAATATTCTAGAGACACAGAACGTAGCAAAAACCCATGCTACAAAATATGGCTGTTATAATAGAGGTAGTGAACAAAGTGGGAACACAAAGGAATGAGTGACAGAGAGGGCATGTGGACAAATCTTGTGGTTACTAAATATTAGAGCAAACTGCTATTGCTTCCCCTAGCCAACCTAATGGCTGTCAGCTTTGCCTAACAGACTGAGATGATGTAAACCTTCCCCGTGTGTGTTGCTCAATGTAGTAGCCACTGGCCACATGTGGTTATTGAGTGAGCACTTGAAATATAGGTAATGTGACCAAAAAGTTGAATTTGAAATTGTATTTAACTTAAATATCCTCAGGTAGTTAGTAGCTATCTTCTTGGACAGTCAAGGTCTCTATAATAAGGATAGTACATAAACCAAAGAATGATATAATGGTTTATATTATTATCTGGGAATTTGGAAACTATCCCAACAGTTAATATCGTTGTTTTTTTTAACCTATCTCATTCTTCCTTAAAGTTTCTGAATTCACTTGTTTTGTAATCCTCTGATATAAGCGAGTCAAATGCAGACACATCCAGCTGAAGGGCTGAATTTGGGCCTCTCCTGCTATGGACACCAGATTGGTAACAGTGATCCAAGTAGGTGACTGCTGGATGAAAGGAAGTCTCTAGGCTGGGGATGTGGCTCATTGGTATGCATGAGGCCCTGGGTTCCAACCTTAGCACTGACAAAACAAAGCTGTGATAGCTAGGGCTCAAAACAACCAAAATACTGCATTAGCCCATAGTCTCAGCTGGGCTGTTTTCTTCTTGAACATACCTGAGGCTGTATTTGCTCTTTAAGCTTCATTTCTCTTTCAAGTGTACCCTTGATTTCAGTTATATAAAATTATTAAGGGAGACGACAAAGCTACAAAACAAAATTTACTACCCTATACTATGTTAAGGAGGAAAGAAAGAAAAGAAAACTCAGGATCAGCTTTCTGAATATAGTCATTTAAAAGAGAATTCTGCATGAGGAAATAGGTAAATGTAGTCACAGATTAAGGCAAAGGCAGGAGAGGGATAAAAAATGAGAGTCCAAGTTCCCAGGCTGTTCAAGAACATATAGTCTCTCTTCTTTGGGGCTGTGTTCTTGATTGGAGGAGGCATCTGTAGCCATTGCCCATCTGGCACATATTTTCTCAGGCTGTCAAACTACATCTGATTTAGCAAAGTAAAACAATTTTTTGAGTTTTTTTTCTTTTCAACCTGAGATGTAGGAGGAGCTTCTAAAATACTGGCCTCAGTGAACCTTATCTTCCCAGGGTTCTTTCAATACTTCCAACTTGAGGACGGCTTGAGCGGAGGGTTACGTGATCTGAAATACGATCGCTCCCCTTCCATCCGGCGTTGCTGAAGAGGCTTATACATTGCTCTGTCTCCTGAGGGGTGCAGACCTGCCTCCGAAGCCAGCTAGTCTGTGCGACCTCTGAGGGGTCTAGTACTACGCTAGTACTACTGTGGCGAAGCATCCTGTTACTATTGCTCCTCTGCTTGCTATCTACCTTTTTCTATCCTGGGGTGCACACACAGGAAGAATTTACTTTTTTCTTAGAGAAATATAAAACTTTTAACTTACTTGTTAACCTAGTGGCTGTTACCTAAAGTCTTAATAAATATATCAAATAGAAAAATATGTAACTCAGTTCCAAATGATGATCATTTACAGGAGAGAGAAAAGTTGGGAAACTGTAAAATAAGGGGTTAGGAAGAAAGAAGAGGACACAAATAAATGATAATGAAAGTAAACTTATTCCTGTAGTTTGTAAGCAAGCTATCTGTTTTCATAGGCCTTTTCTCTTCCAATTGGCTGGATAACCAATGTTCATCTTTCAGTCATTCTTCTAAGCCTAGGAGGCTTCCTCTCTATGTAGTACCATAGCAGCCAACCAAAAAGGAATGGGTGCTCTGAACTAGAGCACAGGGGCCAGAGTGCTCCCCAGTCTGAAGACATCAAGCCGTGGACTAGGTCTGGACCCAGCCTGAGGTTTTCTACTCGTGACATAAGGGTATCTTAGTGGCAGCTGCTGGGTAATAATTTTCTACTAGAGAGGGTGTCATTTTCTCTCTTCAGAAGCAACATTTCATTTTTCTTGAGGAAAACGAATTTCTTCTATTAAGGAGGAACTTGACTAAGGTGACCTACTTCTGTCTTTACTAAGCAGGCGAGTGAAAAGCAGTTTTACAAGGCTCTTTATTGGGGGTTTCTGTGTTTCTTTCACAGAGATTGAGACAGTGAAATTGGCCCGTTCTGTCTTCAGCAAACTACACGAGATTTGCTGCAGCTGGGTGAAAGACTTCCCTCTCCGCAGGAGACCCCAGCTTTATTATGAGACATCAATCCATGCCATCAAAAACATGCGCAGGAAAATGGAGGACAAACATGTCTGCATTCCTGACTTTAATATGCTCTTCAACCTAGAGGTAAAGGGCACTTTTAGAGAGCCAGCGAGATTTCAAAACAAACAACTTCATTGTCCTGCTTGAAAAGGAGAGCTATATATTTCTAAATAGCATCTTGAGTAAGTTAAAGAAGGACTGATTGCAAAGTGGCACAGATTTGCTTGTATTAGATACAGAAAAGGAACTATTTTGTTATTTTGAATAAGTTCAAATAAAAAACTGGGACCATTGTTATTTTAATAGGTTCACAAGGTTCAAAATTGTGAAAATAAAAATCACTTATCACCCAGGTACTCAGTTCCCCTTCATGAAGGCAAGGAAGTTACCCGTGTCTTGTGTAAGCTTTTAGAGCTATTCTATAAACATATAAGTAAAAAAGAAAACTATCAGATTTCAAAAAAGCTATTTTGTAAGGGAAAATATTTCTATAGTATAATCAAATAGTGTTTACCGAGTTCCCACAATACAAAATATAAAATAAAAGAATACATTTAAGGCTGAGACAGCTTTTGATTTCATGTGATTTTCTCTTTAAAATCTTGGTGCCTGATATAGGAAAGTGGTTGGAATTACATTTCATGAATCCTTGTGACTGACAAATTGGATCCATATAAGCCTTGTCAGCTTAATAACCATTTTCTTGATATCTTCCTTTCCTTTTCTATTAAATGCATTATGTTCATGCAAACAGACGTAGGTTTGTTTCCTTCACCTGTCACTTGCCTCTTTTCTTCACTTAAGTCCATAACTTAAAAATTACAATGTAGTAATTTATGCAAATCACAATATTTCCTTCATTTAGCAGCTGAATTTAACTTTTAGCTGTCAAGGTCTAATCACTGATGACAGGTTGGTAATTGGTGCCTATAAAGATATTACCTGACATCTTTGTTTCTAGCACCATGCCTGTACAAATCTAACTCAAAGGCTATGTGATAAACAGTCCTTGTATTATTATACCTACTTGAAGATTATACTCAGATTTGAGGGCTTTACTGCTGGCTCATGACTTGGTTTGTATTTTGCCTTCAAATTTAAAAATTAGCCCAGAGGTCTAACTCATGAAGGAGTACCTTAGGGCAATAGAGCACCAAATATTTAGAGGTTTGTAAATTTTCACACCTTTTGATCTGATAATTTCATTCCAATTCTTTAGTATAAGGAAACAGAAGTGCAGAAAGTCTTCCATAAAGTCTTACACAATTTTGTTATAAAAAATTTGAAATAACCTAACTCATTAAAGAAAATGGTAACATCTTATGTTCATGGGATACATAAGCCTTTAAAAGTAATGTCTTTGAACAATACTTAGTGACACAGAGAAATACTAATGATACTATAAATGAAATAGATAAGTTTTATGTACACTATGATCCTAATTCTATTTTTTAAAATATAGATATATAGGGCTGAAGTGTAACTCAGTCGTAGAGCATTTGCCTAGCAGGCACAAGGCCCTGGGTTTATTCTCAAGCACTGGAAAAACAGAAACAAAACAGATACTGTAACTGATGGTTATCTATGGATGGTAGAAATATAGGTGATATTTATTTCCTTTATACTTCTTTTATTTTCATAAATTATCATACATTATTGTAATAGGGAAAACATCAATACATTTTTTTAAAGACAAGAAACCTTTTAAAAGAAATCTACCTGGCCCGCTTTTGTTTCTTCTAATACTAAACTTAGTTGTTTAAAAATGAATATTGCAGGGGCCAGGGATTTAGCTCAGTGGTTTCGCCGCCTGCCTCACAAGCGCAAGGTCCTGAGCTCGACCCCCAGTACAAAAAAAAAGACTAGTGCTTGAGTACAGATAGAAATTCTGTATGTCAGGATTACTTCTAGACAGTTCTATTTAGTAAGTTAGTCTTCAATAGTATTATAGGTGGTACTGGTTCAATTGCAAAATGAACAGTTATACTTTCTGTATTAGATGTAGATTTCATAATATTTGGGTCTTATTATAATTCAATAGACATTCATATTTGGTACTTTTGTTTAAAAGAACCTGTTTGGGGCCGGGGATGTAGCTCAGTCGCCCCGCGCCTGCCTGGCAAGCCCAAGGTCCTGAGTTCATTCTCTGGTACCGCAAAAAAAAAAAAAAAAAAAGGACCTGTTTTAGTATTCTTTCAGATCACCATGATATAGCAACTTGTCTATACCTAACATAGAGAAACCAGAGAAAATACGATCTTTCCAAGAATCAGTGACAGGGCCCGAACCCCTCTGTGGCTCCTGGAAGCCTAAGCAAAATGAACAGACTTGAAAATGAAAATTAAAAAAAAAAAATCTTTACTTACTGTTGCCTAAAGGGAGTGCAGGACTCTGTGAGACCTGAGTGAGTCATCGATCCCCTAAGTAAACCAGATCAGAGATTGAAACACTTGAACCAAAGATGAAGAAGTAAACTATGTATTTAGTGGCTGATGTATAAATTTATGATTAGGCTTTGTCAAGGCAAAGCAAAAGATTGGAAGACCTTCCCCTGGCAGGTGGCCTTTGTGAGAAAGTAAGAAACTAAATCTTTGTCAAGGGTTGAAGCAGAGTTGAGAGCCACAAAAGGGATTTGGACCTCTGATGTGGTTCAAGTTCAGTTAAGCAGTTTAGAGACTGTGCTATGTAGGGTGAGAAGTCAATGTGACCATGATTTATAAAGAAGGTACTATAGTTTAAAACTATGTAAGCTGAGGGACCATGAGATAAGTGTATATGTATGTTTTTTCATATTAAATGTTTTATTTTGTAAAAAAAAAACCCCACTATGTATGTGTTTTCATATCTATTTTAAACAACCTGAACATAACTGGCCTTGTGCTGGAAAGCCAATTACCACCTATTGTTCCTTGGCATTCTGAAAAAGTCCTCAATTCTACCTCATACCTTCTCTTTCTTCCCCTTCCCCCAAAACTTGTAACAGCAATTTTGAAGCAAATGGATGTGGGTGGTTTCCATGGCAGAAGACAACTTTCAGAGAGAGGGCACTTCAGCCTGAGCTAATTGGGCACGATGTGTTCCAGTGCTGTGTGTGTAAACACAGATGCCCCATATTGCAGGTATTTCAGCAGCTGATCACGCATGTTAGAAAGGGGAAACACAGACTCATTACCTGAGCAACAAATGCAGTAGAGGAGGAGGAAATCAGACTATACCAACCCCTTAACTGTTCTATTTGTATTGACAGGACCAAGAAGAACAAGCTTACTTTGCAGTGTTTGACGGCCACGGGGGAGTGGATGCTGCCATTTATGCTTCCATTCACTTACACGTTAACCTAGTACGGCAGGAGATGTTCCCCCATGATCCTGCTGAAGCTCTTTGCCGGGCCTTCCGGGTCACTGATGAGCGCTTTGTGCAGAAGGCAGCCAGGGAGGTAGGCCACCTTCTCTTCCATTCCGGCTGTGAAGGTAGCGGAGCTCACCTGGCTCTATGTGATTGAAGAGCTCTTTTGCTTTTTTCTTTCTGGGTAGGCATTATCCAAACTGTATTTTCTGGACCCACAGTGTTGGATTGTGTTGTAGTTCTATATCAAATTCCCTCTTTAGGAAGAGTTTTAGAGGGGTACAATGATTGTATAGGAACTCGGAAGCTATGATTTTCTGGATTCATTTCTATAATCATTGCTAGGTTTGGAAGGTGAGTTTTCTTTCTTTCATTCCCTGTTGCTTGTCAGGTTCACAGTAGGACCATGTCTCTAAGTACTCTTGCTGACAAGATCTGGGTATGATGAATATAAAACAAAAACAATGGTTTTAAAAAAGAAACAGAAACTGGGATAATTTCCATACATTTCGTTCTAAATGGGTAGGCAGTGTTTGCTGTGTCTCTTGAGGAAAAATTTCCTTGGAGAGGGTGAATCCTTAGATGATCCTTTTCTCTTAACAGGAAGAAAAGTCAAACTCATATGCTATATTGCTAAGGTTAATCAGACCTAAGTGTTTTTACTCTGAATGCAATTCATGGGCTCTATAATAAGATCTGAAAGTAAAAAAATTTTTAATTATCATTCTGGGCATCAGCACATAATTAACTACAGTACTCTATACTGGATTTTGAACTGAAGGCCAATAGAAACAATAACTTTTAATTTTTAAAATTACAGAATTAGATACACACAGAAAATAACACTTCTGCCACATGACTTAAATTTATCTCTTTTAAAATGGAGTTGGAGGACTGGGGATTTAGCTCAGTGGTTCCGGCGCCTGTCTTGCAAGCACAAGGTCCCCAGTTCGATCCCTGGTACCATAAATAAATAATTAATTTAAAAATGGAGTTGGACAGATCAGGGTAATCACTTAATCCATTTCTTTGATCTCACAGTTATACTAAAAGCAATAGTAGGGCTCAGAATTAATGAAACAGTTATCCAGAAATATTTAATGTTGAAAGAAATATTCTGTACGTATACTGCAACCCTGAGTTTGGTTTACTATGCAAATTCAGTAAGTCAACCACTACATATTCAAGCAGGCTGGAAAATAAAACACAACTTGTGACCTGAGACCTTCCCAGTCTCTTCAGTGTCTGTATTCTGCTTGGCCATCTTTCTTGAAGCTGCTGGCTCTCAAATTCCAACTTGAGGAAAAGACCTGGCCCCTGATAGGTGATCTGTAATCACCAATGTGAAACAAAGAGAATCAGTCTGTCTTTTTCATTCTCTAGTTTATTCCTATTCCTTTTATCTCCTCAAAATTGTGCTCCCCACCCCTACCCCATTAACCTCCTTTGCTTTTGTCAGGGTCCTAGTGTCTCTCAGTTCTGCCAACAGTTCCCTTGAATAATTTAAGTTTGTCTCAGCAGTCACTTTGCTCTGTCTTGTGCTGCCATGTGCTGCTAACTGCTGGGGGAAAGTAGCTATTCCTGTTGTGCAGCAGCCCTGCCTCCTGTTCTCTCCGGGGCATATGCACCACAGTGTCTTTATCGTGTGATCCAGAGGGCTGAGTTTTTGAACATTCTGTGTGGGAAGACATTTTATTGGTGGGTGAGGATTTATAACAAACTTTCCCTATATAGGAAAAACAAGAAGTTTTTCTTCTTATTGGATACAAGAGGCCCTTTACCACCCCTGACGCATTGGTTCTAATTTAGGCCAGGTCCTTAGTAACAGAAAGTCATGCTCATTTGGTGGTGACTCATGTCAAATGAAGATGTCATTTCAGTATAGTAGGATCAAAAGCTTCCAGTACAGTGGTAGCTTCTGCAGTGAAATTCCAGGCTGTTAGTTCTTTATGCAATGTTCCAAAAACAAAGATCTCTAAAAATATTGTAGGGAAGTTATTATTTTTAAAGGTATAAGCATCTTAGTACAGCAGGGAATGCCTATTATCTCTTGGCCTCTTATCTTGGGAGCATTTGTTGTATATCAGACAAGTGCTTTATGTATTATTTTGTATGTCTAGGACATCTCACTGAACATACAGCAGGTCAATAACGAAACAGACAAGAATGTGGAAATCTTTAAGGATTGATTTAGTGGTTTTAGCAATGAGCTGAAAGGCAAAAGAATTTTAGTTCTATTCTGTGTAATCAGTTACTTGCCCTTGGACAAGTCATATAACCTGCCAGTTTTTAAATTCTGTATTTAACATGGAATTAATAATCATCCCCATCTAGTATATAACAGATCAGATGGATTTATATACGTACAAGACTACATTGAGAAACATAAATTGCTAGTTTTGAAAGTGTATTAACATGAAGTATGATAAAAATGTGGTGAGTGAATATTTAATTTTTTTTTTTTTGGTATCAGAGATCGAACTCGTGACCTTGCACTTGCAAGGCAGGCGAGAATATTTAATTAAAAAAAAATCATTACAGTACGACACACTGCCATTAACTCCTCTCAAATGCCACTTCCCAGCCCCTGGCTTGGATCATACTTATCCCATCATTCTTCCCACTTCCTAAAGCAGTTCTGGAAGTCCTCTTTTGAGTCTTTAGTTGTGTTACTATAGCCACCTCAATGTCCTAAGACTTGATTTAAAATGTTTACTTTTCATGGTCATTTTGACTTTGGGAAAGAACCAAGTCACACAGTGCCAGAGCTGGTGAATAAGGTGGATGAGGGTACACAGTAATATTTTTATAAGCCTGCCTTTCTGTTGGGTGGCACTGGGGAGCAGCCTTCACCATAAAGACACTCACAAAAGAGGACTTGCAGAGCTGCTTCACAAAGTGAAAGAATGATGGGACAAGTGTGTCTGAAGCTTGGGGGAATATTTTGAGAGGGGGATTAGTGGCAATGTGTCTTTTACTGTAATAAACTTAAATATTCAAACATCTACCTTATAGTCTGCCTCCTAAATGAAAAGCTTCTATTTATAAATTGCTTCTCAATGAGATTTTGGTGTCCAGTTCTTTTCATTCACTCTAGTATTATTTAAACTATTTTCAGAGCTTAAGATGTGGGACCACAGGAGTGGTGACTTTTATCAGAGGCAACATGCTACACGTGGCCTGGGTGGGTGATTCCCAGGTTATGCTCGTGAGAAAAGGCCAAGCTGTTGAACTAATGAAACCACATAAACCAGACAGAGAGGTAAGTATGGTTTCTTCTATGAAAACACATCTCAGAAAGGCAGTTTTCTAGGGATTACTTAGGATTCACTCAATTATTGCCCTTAATCTCAGCAACTCTGCCCACCTTCCACAGGAAGAATACAGAGAACTTTTTCAGGAAGCTGATGAGTATTTTATCTGTTGTTGTTAATTGTTAAAGTAGATGAATAAATCTTGAATCCAGTTATTTGCTTCTTTTTATTGCGTCGCTGTTTAGGATGAAAAGCAGCGAATTGAGGCCCTTGGAGGTTGTGTAGTCTGGTTTGGTGCCTGGAGGGTCAATGGAAGTCTGTCAGTCTCCAGAGCTATAGGTAGGAAAAACAAATTAATTTTGTTTCTCCAAACTGTACTCTTCTAGCTCACTGTCTCACAGTAACTCAGAAACACAGGAGCCCGAGATGATGATTTATAGTATCAAAATGCTTATTATATGTTTCAAATAACAACTGGATAATGCCTCTTCTTAATTATTTAATGACATCTATTTATATGTTTAAATAAATTTAATAATTAAATATTTAAATTAAATAAAAGGGAGCTATAAGAAGAAATGCCAAATTTACTAGTTTATATGTATTTTTGTAAATAGACGCATTTGTTAATATACAAATCTCCTTAAACCATAACAATCCTCATTTCATTCCATTTTTGGCATATCTGGCTTAAATCAGTATTTTCCAGAGAACAAAAAGTTGTCCTTATAGTTTATCCATATTTACTTAATATCTTTACACTAATTAACTGAATTTCAAAATGTAAAAAAAGAATTCATAGATATTATTGTACTTTTTGATATGAAAACTATTTTTCAAAAGTGGACTACAATAATTTGTCAGATAACCCTGGGTTTCAAATAACCTGTTTCCCTAGGACTTTAATTTTTCAAAAGAAAGTGAAAGTCAGTGAAACTGTCTAAAACATAGAGATTAAGTAGCTGATTGGAAAAATGCAAGGGTATAAGTTCAAATAATTGAGCTATTTGTTTTTGTCTCACTTTGGGCCCTGGGTCTTTATTTTAGGCTTTCTAATTTGCCTTCACTTCCTGGTTTTTAAAAGAATAAATCATTGTTTGTCTTCATAGGTGATATGAACATGTACTGTAATTCATAATCTTTGCCTCCCTAAAGAAATGGAGTAATTTGGACCTAGGGTTAGCATGGCTAGAACTCACATCTAATTTCCAAATTTAGTTTATTATTACCAAATCATTCCAGAACAGTAAGAAAATCTGAAAAGAATGATTTACTTTCCCAAGTGATTTGAGTTCCTCCTACTCTTTGGGGAGGTGCTGGCAAGCTGTGAAGTGGCCCAAATACGAGCAGCAGAAGGCTTAAAGAGAAGTAGCTAAGAGATCCTACAAATACCTCCTAAAAAACTGAGAGCTTTACCTGACATTGTGGGAGTTATTAGAAACTCTGGAATAAGGCCAAAGAGGGGGAAATTTCTCATTTCCAAAATATATTCCTATATAGAATTATTTTTGACAACTCTTAACTGAAGACCTCTTTTTCTTGATCTCATCTGTCTTTGTCAGAAGATTGAGGGTTATCTTTAATGCTTGTTTTAGAACAAAAACTTACTACAGGGTAAGTCTTTTCTTGATTCTAAAAACAGAACACAAGGTGAAACTAAAGTGGAAGAATGTCCTTGAAAAAATCACAGTCTAAGAATAGAGTCATAGAGGAAGTGACTTTTGAGGAAAGGAAATCCCAGGTACATAAAGGAGTATAAATACCTGGGATTTTGAAAGGGTGTGGCATGGTCAGGAATAGTAACAAATAGAGGAGGCTAGACCGGAGGGTGAATGCTAAGAGACTGACAGTGTTTGTACTAGACTGTGCAGGGCTTCACATTCAGGCCACACATTCAGGTTTGCATTTGCAGATATTTGCAGATATAGCACAGAAGGTGGACTAGACAACAAAGTGCCTAGTTGGGAGCTGATTCAGGAGGCTGTGGATATATTTGTTACAGTGATGGGGACAGCTGAAAAGGGGTATGGAAGAGGATATAACTGATGAGACAGAATGGCGTGGGGAAGAAGAAAGCTAACTTCCAGGTTTCTGACTTTTGTCACTGGAAAGATAAAGCATGTGTAACAAAGCAGCAGTAGTTTGGGGGTGAGGAAGACAGGTAATGAGTTGTTGGGACATATTCTATGTTCTGGGTACCTATGGGATGACCTGGAAGAGAATATGTAGTTGGAAATACAGATCTGGAGCTTAGCAGAAAGTTCTAGGTTAGACACAGAGGTTTGAGAACTCATTCCATTTTGGCAATGATGCTAGCAAACTGTGAAGGAAAACTATAGGCATGGGTTACATTGCCCAGGGAATGCGTGTTTTGTAAGGATGACACGGACTCATTACTTAGGGGGAGAATAATACCGTGGACAGACTCTGGAGCTGCGGGCCTTGGGAAATTTACTTCACTTCTCAGTGTCTATTTGCTCATTTGTAAAGTAGGAAGAATAAGAGTATCCAGCTCATGGAATCTTTCTCTTAAATAGTGTTACCACATGCACCATACTTATATCCATGTCTGGCACATTTAGCACACAATGAATGTTAAGTGTTATTGAATCAGCAAAGAAAATCAAGAAGTGACCAGAGGTAGAGAAGTGGGATATTATGGATATTAGGGGAAAAGGCTTTGTAGGAGCAAATAGCCAACAGTGTTGAGTGCTAGAGGTCAAGTGAGAAGTAGGTTTAAAAGAGATAATGGAATTTAAAAATCAGGAAATAATTGATGATACCTGAAATACAGATTAGGAGGGGTTATAGAAAACAAGGTGAGGAAAAACAGGCAGGAACACAGGAACAAACCAGTTTTGTTTCTTGGGCAGTCTGTGAAAGGGAGAAAGGAAATAGTGTGATGGCTTGAGGGAAAAGCTGATTTGGGAAAAGGTTGCTTTTATTGCTTCTGTTTTTAGAATGAGGATATTTTAGACTTGAGTTGTGTTTAAAAAGAGAGTAAGCAGAGGAGAAACTGAAAATGAGAGAGTAGCCAGAGACCTAGAAAGACATGACCAACAGCACAGGTCAGCTTTGAAAAGGAAAAGGGATACCTCTGAGTTAGGAAAATGGCAGTGGCTTTGGTGAATCTCTACAAATTAACAAAAAAAAATTTTAAACTTGGAGGCAGTGTAGGAATTGAGGACATGCAGTAAATGATAAAGTTTTGAAAATGAAAAGCTTTTCAATTATTTTTCTCCATGAGCCCTTCAGATGCATGATCCAAAGTTGACAGAAGCATGTTTCCCAGCATATGGAGAGAGGAGGTTGAAGACAAAGGGATGTTGCCATTTCTACCATGAAATGGATATTCATGCCCTCCTACCAAATTTGGGGGCGAAATGTCATGAATTTGACACCAACAGTAGAGCAGGTGAAAAGCCAGAATTTTGGCAGCATTTTCTCTGTGCAAATCTTTGTATGTTCTGTTCCAAACCAACAGTTGCAGTAGTCTTTTAATTGTGGCACTAAAACAAGACTTGGGAACAGTATGACTCAGATGTTTATTTTTAGAGATGGAATTTAAAAAATAATGATAATTTAGTCAGGTAGAGTAGGGGAAATTAAGTGGATTGGTGGAGGGTACTGAATCCCATGATTGGAAGTTTTAATTAGCTCTAACAGGCTATTGGGAGGCATCATAGTAAAGAAATGAAGTTCGTGAAATCAAAACCATGGTTGAGGAAGATGGTTTTGACTATTGTAAGAAATAGTGCATGAATGGAAGACAAGTCTAGCTGAGTAAGAGGAGGGAGTTATACATTTGAGAATAGGAATGGAGCTGAGGACTTAAAGGTGGCCAAACAACTAGTATCTTATCTTACAGATATACTAAAGTCATTCTATTAAGTAACTGTCGTGTTTTGTTTTTGAGACAGGGTCTTGCTGTGTAGTTCAGGCTGGCCTTGAACTCACTATGTAGCCCAAGGTGGCCTCTAATTCACAGTGATCCTCCTGCCTCAGCCTCTTGAGTGCTGGGATTACAGCACTCCATGCCTGGCTAATGTTATGGGGGTTTTTTGGTCTGTTGTTCTGGTAGTCAGTCATACAATCTGCTGGATAGGTAGTGCATGTTGCCCACATTGGTTCTAGGAGAGTTATCCATAGGTCTCCTATTGAACCTTCCAGGCCTATCTGAGGATTAAACAGGGGTGTGAAATGTTGGAAAGAAAATTTTCTTGGGCAAGAGAGAACCTAGAACAGTTATCAGAAACAATGAATATATAGCCATGTCACTTAAATTAGTGTATCTTCATTTTATCTTCCCCTAGTCAAAAAGTTCGTTTAGGGCAATGGAAAGGACAGTAATTAATGACAGTTGTGTAGGTAACAAGCTAGGATTTACAGCCAGGCAGTCTGGCAGCAGTGCTGGTGTCCTTAACCATTACCAGGTAGGTTCTCTCCAGGTACCTAAAGGAAATCAATGAAAGTAAACAATGAATGTATCCTGTAGTATTCTGGATCTGAAAGTTCCAAAGGCACTGCAGGTGATCTATTATTTCAGTAGCTGGTGACAGAAACCTAGCTTAGTGTGGGCCCAGGGTCTCCAGTTTGATTATACACACCACTGCCTAACAGCAGCCCCTGTCTTTGCTTATGCTGTTCCTCCAAGTGAAGGACCTTCTCTGCCTGGTGGTAACTTATACTTCAAGACCCAGCTCAAATGTGATTCTGTGAGTAGATGAACTAAGCAAGAAAAGAGAGGCCTAGGAGGACCATGGGGGTTCTCACAGCTATTAGTAAATGAGAGGATGAATAATAAGGACAGAAGAGAGGGTTAATCAGAGACATATGAAGAAATCAAGAACATGGTAATAATTTCTAAAGAGAAGAGAAAAATGGTTTTTTTTGTTTTTTTTTTGGCACCAGGGATCAAACTTGGGACCTTGCACTTGCAAGACAGGCGCTGGAACCACTGAGCTAAATCCCCAGCCCGTCATATTTTTTTTTTAATCTCTAGACATTAAAGCAACATTAAGCAGAAGAAAGCCAAGGAGATTGGGGACCAAGAGATCTGCATTCTAGTTTCCTATACGAGGGCTTGGATAAGCCACATGAGTGTTCCTGGCTTGAGGGAGTTGCAATTGATATTTCAAATTTCTTGTAACACAAACCCTCCTTTGTGCTTGTAATATGAAGCTATTTATTGACTTTTAAGTAAGGACAGAACAAAAATTGTCTAATGAAGAAAATGAGAACTTTTGGTGTTTTTTTTTAAGTGGATTTGTACTCAAGTTGCAATTAAATAAAATCTAACCACTAGCAAGAGAACAAATCTACTAAATCAAAAAAGCTTTCCCATGTAGGATGAAATTTTTTAGTACAACAAATTTAGATCTACCTTACCTGTTGTCATACTCAGCAAAGCTTAAATGATAGCCAGAGGCACAAGCTTCACAGTATATGGCAAATACCTTAGTTCTTAGCTAATTATTTAACTGGAATTAAGACATAAGCAATACCTGCTTAACAGAACTTGGAAGTGCTGTATCTGAAATTATAAATTCTTTCAATTAAATTATGATCATGACATTGGCAGTAAACTTTTTTTTCTTTTATGCTACTGGAGATTGAACCCAGGGGCCTTTGCACTGAGCTATATCCCTAGCCTTTACCTTTAAAAAAAATTTTTTTTTAGACAGGATTTCACTAAATTGCTTAAATTCCCCAAGCTGGGCTTGAACTTGCAGTCCTCCTGCTTCAGCTTCCCAGAGTGTTGGGATTATAGGTTTGTGCCACTGTGCCTGGCTTGGCCATAAACATTCTAAGCATTCGAGTAAACCAAAGTCTGCCTTCTGATGTCTCTACTTTCTAATTCCCACAGGAGATGCTGAACATAAGCCATATATTTGTGGGGATGCGGACTCTGCCTCTACTGTCTTGGATGGGACTGAAGACTACCTCATTCTGGCCTGTGATGGCTTCTACGATACCGTGAACCCTGACGAGGCAGTGAAAGTTGTGTCTGACCACTTGAAAGAGAACAATGGAGACAGCAGCATGGTCGCCCACAAATTAGTAGCATCAGCTCGTGATGCTGGGTCAAGTGATAACATCACTGTTATTGTGGTATTCCTGAGGGACATGAACAAAGCTGTAAATGTTAGTGAGGAATCAGATTGGACAGAGAACTCTTTTCAAGGAGGGCAAGAAGATGGTGGGGATGATAAGGAGAATCATGGAGAGTGCAAACGCCCTTGGCCTCAGCATCAGTGCTCAGCACCAGCCGATCTAGGCTATGATGGGCGTGTGGATTCATTCACTGATAGAACCAGCCTCAGCCCAGGGTCCCAAATCAACGTGCTGGAAGACCCAGGCTACCTAGATCTCACACAATTAAAAGCAAGCAAAACTCACAGTGCCCAGTGTTTGCCACCAGTTGAAATGTTTGGTCCTGGTGCACCAAAGAAAGCGAATCTTATTAATGAGCTAATGATGGAGGAAAAATCAGTTCAATCATCATCATTGCCTGAATGGAGTGGTGCTAGAGAGTTTTCCGCTTCTTTTAATTTGGGTTCCACAGGGCAGCAGATATACAGAATGGAGAATTTGTCTCCTGTCTTTTCTGGGTTGGAAAATGAACAGTTTAAATCCCTGGGGAAAAGAGTTTCTAGATTGTATCATTCACGCCACTACTACTCCAAGAGGTGGCAAAAGTTTTACTCATTTCTCTCTGTTCGAGAGCCTTCCCACAAAATAGGCATTAGCCTGACCTCACTTATTCGAAGTGGGAAGAGAAATAGGATGTTAAGAAGTTCTGTGCCATGGAGGGAAAACAGCTGGAAAGGGTACAATGAAAACACAATGAGGAAGGCTAGAAAGAGTAATGATATTCCATGCCCAGATGTTTTCAGGAGCTTTAAAATATAATACTTTTTCATTAAAGTAGGCTAGCTAGCTCTCAATTAAAAACACCACTATCAGAGTAGAAACAAGGTAGACATTTCTAAAACATATGTGTTTCATTATGAATCCATGGATGGCTCAATTCTTAAATGTAAATAGATCTCTAGGAAACTCAAAATAGTGCTTAATCTAAAAAAAAAAAAAAAGTATTGGCGGTTTCACTAGCAAAATTATACAACTGGTCCCTGTGATGTGTCTCTACACCTGCCCCCCATCCCTACCCCGCCATCCCTTCACGTCACTAGTGGAAGCTTGAAGTTATTTCAGTCAGGACGTACAGTGTTGAAATCACAATTCAGTTGTGAATCTGGTCTGATATGCCTCATATCTATGGAAAAGTCAATGCAGAATTTAGTTGGGAAATGTCTCTCAAGATATTGGGGTCTATGAAGGATCCCTCTCCCCCTTTTTGGGCATGTAAAAGACTAAAAGCCATATGAGTTTTAACTGGTAACAGTAAAAGTAGAAAGCTAATGTAAAGGTGTCATATTCTCAGACTTATGAGGCAGGATATAGTCAAAATTTATTGATTTTTTTTTTTGTAACATAAAAGACTGAACATTTTTTGAATTAAAAATATTTCCTAGGGCTGTAGTTATTTGGGAGTTTCATACCTGTCATGGTGCTTTTGGTGGAATTTTTATTATTTGTCATTTTAGAAAATCACTGTTTTAATCTCTGATGCTAATGTGTTTTTCACTGTACCCTCATCTCAGGAATAAAACTGGTTTAATAGAGATGATGTCAGGTACAAATATACAAGAATCAAAATGCCATTTATAAAAGAAAGTTAAATAGCATTTGTATATTTTCTACCTTTTTTTTAAGTTCACAGACAGCATGGGCATATACAACTATAACATAAAAAGTGATTTTGGAAAATTAAAAATGCTAGTTTCAACTTCTCTAAAATTATTTTCCCCAAGGGAATGAAGTAATTGGTATGAAAAGAAGACTGAAAGTACTGCCTAAAAGTGAACCCAAAGGCCAAGTCCAAAGGAGAATGCAGATTACCAAGAGCCAGGTCTGTTCAGTTATAATTGGAAGACAAGCCAGAGTCCTGCTACAGGCAAATTCAGACTGTAGAAACAGGACATGTGCTTCTCATTTCAGTATTTAGTTATATTTCATAGTTTAAAATCATCTGTTTTTTGCTATTTCTGCCATTTCAAGCCAGAAGTGTATCTTCAAGTAAAGACAGCGAATAAACTTTCAGCGAAGCAGCCTCTGATTCTGAGAATCACGAATGTCTCCATGTCACCCTTCCCTAGCCAACTGTGGCCCAGCCATGCCAATGGACAGGAGTGGCCCTGCTGCTCTGATCGCTCACAGTCAGATGCACTCAGTGCTCTTGCTGAGCAGAACCACTGCCTAATCATGTTTTTACATGATAGTATAATTACCTTCTGTTCCAGGACAGAGGTGGGTTACAATTCACAAGTTTTTAAGATCTAGATGACTGCAGCATATTATAGGTGCCAGTAGAGCTATATCAAATAATTTTTAAACAAAGCTTCACTTTAGCAATGATCTGATTGGTAATCTACAGACTTTATTTTTTAAAATTTGGATGTAAGTAGAGATTTTTAGTGTTTTTTTTCTCTTGACTTTGAAGTCATTCATTCTTTCCTCAAGTCTTGTGACACATAGTTGAAAGAGTAAACATGGCTCCACCTATAGTATTAGACTTTTTTCATCATTCTGATTCTTTGCCCCATACGTGGGCCTTACTTGTATCTGTCATTTTCTGAAGCCTAGATCTTGTTGACAACCCTTCCGATGCAGTGTCAGTTTCAAATCAAGTTATCTAAGGAAACAAGAAAACAAAGGCAGCAGAATATTGGTACACATTATTGTCCAAAATGCTTAGCCAAGAAAAAAAATTTAAATTTTCTATAGTTGTATGTTGGTAATGCTTTTGATAATAAAGATGAAAGGAAAGAAGCTGCAAGTGATAAGCTTTTTCAGTTGGGGAAAAAATGGTTGGATGAAACTGGGACAAATACAGACCCATTTCTAATGGTACGGGTTTTGTAGGTCTGACTATATAGCAGTGTTAACTCCATGTCTCATACCATTAGCTCTCTCTAGAAAATAAAGTAGTTCTCTCAATATTGTAAAAAATAGCAACTATTCATTTGTTCACAACATGCATATTTATAGGGTAGTTAGGTACCATTTGTAAGGTAAGTCCTTTAAAATTCTATAATAAATATTAAAGTAGTGGTTATTGGTCTGATACATGCTGCTCTTGGTTCTATAAACTAGATAAAAAGCAGTGCTTTGTGAAATGCAGTGTTATATCTTAATGCCACTGGTTATAGAAAGTAGTTCCCTTCTGTTCAAATCCTGTGCCCTTATTTGCTGCTTGCTAATAATGTAAGCAATAAGTAACCCTCTAACTAATGGTATCTACACATTATTGTAACTTGTATTTAATGATGGTGTATCTGGTGATTGTAAAAATAGACAGACATAAAAGTATATATTATATATTAACCGTTAATGCTGAGGTATAGTCCGTGAATTATGTGTTTTGTAATTTTACTCATTGTGTAATTTAGTGGTGGTGAAAGTTCTACACTCAATCCTTGAAGAGTGGCAGTATCCCTTTTTCAATTTAACATGATCTGCATCAATTTGTTTGCCTGCTAACCAAGTTTCACTAGAATAGGATATAGTAAAATATAAACAAGAAAGTGTAGTATTGGTTAGGAAACAAACTTCAAGTCACCAATGAAGTTATTACAAACTCCTTGTACATTCACTGTGAGTTTCAAAGGGAGTCAGTCCCTAACTTAAAGGTTTCCTTTTTCACTTTCTAGATATGTACTTTTGAGGGATATCTGAGGTTAGGCAACATTACAGCACCAAATACTGGGGTTATTAATCCCGTTTAGGTCTGTACTACAGAGGTCAGGTAGAAACACATATGTATATAACTTTTCTTTACCTAGAAGTGCCATCCATTGACCTTGAAGAATACAATTAAAGTTCCTGTTGCATTTAACTGGGAGGACCCCTTGAAGGTAATATCTTTTCCAAGGACAATGTCAGCAACGTCAATGTCAACATTAAGTCAACTCTGACCATATTTATAGTGGTATAGTATCAACACTGCATTTTCAGGACAATCACACTCCATTGTTGGAACACTGTGCCAGTAAGAAGTGCAACATCAATGGCAGATGAAAATGATGCATGAGGTGTTCTGTGTTTACAGATAAAACTGCTGTGGCTCAAGTACGTCCTTCCCTATCAAAAGCTTGGTGAGCTGGTAAGAAAATGATCTAAATTTTTTAAACAATTTGTTCACTCAGCATTCTCACCTAAGCAAGGCCATAAAAGGGGATACTGTAAGTTTTGTTCACACCTTAATTTCAAATGATTTTTGAGTCACAAATTAGCAAAAGTGAATGTTTTTCACCTTTGAAAAACCATGTGCTGTTAAGAGATAAGTACCCACTCTTCTGTTCTGACCTGTGAAAAGATTAAATGTCTTTTTCAAAACAAAATTATATTGCCAGTATTATAACACAACTATCTTTCAAACAAAGGGCAAAATACTAAAGAATAATTGCTACTTCCTCCAGCAGCATTTTATCTATTTCAAAAACTATTGTACTAATTAGAAATTATCCAATAGTTACGAAACTCTAGACTGACACAGCAGTTGCTTATGAAAAGGAAATGCTTTGACTCTGATGTATTAGCTAATCTAGATACATCACTGTAACTTTCTAGGTGCTCTCTGGCGAGACAGGCTTTCTCTTGTTCATGACATTTCTCTGCAATGAATTCTCTGTGGAGTAAAGGGAGTGAAATGAACCATTTCTTACCAAGTAAATGTATCAATTTACAAACCCGCTCTACAGATCACCTTTGAGTTCAGTTGTAATCATATTTTATTTATTAAAAGCTGTTCAAGTAAGGAGTATGTTGAAATTTTGCCAACATCTTAATAAAACCCAGCAATTTAAAACCAATATTCATTTGTCTTTTTCTTTTTTTTTTTTTTGGTACTGGAGATCGAACTTGGGACCTTGTGCTTGCAAAGCAGGCGGCAGAACCACTGAGCTAAATCCCCGGTCCATTTGTCTTTTTAAAAGAATGCTGTTATTTAGTGCTTAAAATTACGTAGATTCTCTCAGAAATGGAAAGGAAGAAAATCCTAGGATGGTAGTTTTTTTAGCCTTACCTAGGAACTTTTGTGTATGGGTAGGAGTGTGGGTACAGGGTTACTGGGAACTGAGCCCAGGGCCTTGTGCATACTAGGCAAATTCTCTACCACTGAGCTATCTCCTCAGCCCTCTTCTAAAATTTTCAGACAGGGGCTCACTCAATTGCCTAGGTGATCCCTGAAATTGAGATCCTTCTGCCTCAGCCTGCTGAGTGGCTGCAATTATAGGCACGCAGTACCACACCCGACAAATAGCAACATTTAAGAAAATGTGCTAAGTGCTATTATAACAATTATTTCCAGCAGAAAACTCAGAAAAAGACATGCTTCATCTTATACATGTTCTCCACACTGGCTTAACTGGGGAACAGGGACAAGAGAGGAGTTAGTACCTAAAACAGAAAACAGGACCTCCACCACATTTCCCAAGGACTTATTTCTTACAACTCTGTACCAACCACTCAAGTTTTCCCTTTTGGTCACCTTTCTCTGTTTAGTTTGAAAAGGAAAGAGGTGAGTTGTGGTTGGAAGTCTTTCTAGAAGAATGCTGTCTAGAGTAAAGGGAGATAGAAAAGAGGAAGTGGGACAGAGTGAAGCCCGTTAGCAAGATGCCTGCATATAAAGGAATGGGAGGTAAACTAGTTAAATACACTGCATTGTTATCTATTCTCACCATTCAGTTTTTTACTTCACACAACTACAATCATTTTAAATTCCAAATTCCCTAAATTCAGTCTTTAATATGACTTTATGCACAGAAAAGAACTTTTGGTAAGTGTTGTTTACCTTTGAAAAAAAATACTTAAGATTTAGTATTTAGTTCAAAATTTAGTATTTACTTTCTGCTCGCTCACAATTTTTTTTTTTTTTGGTACCAGGGATCGAACTCAGGACCTTGCGCTTGCAAGGCAGGCAGTGGAACCTCTGAGCTAAAGCCCCAGCCCAGTATTTACTTTCTGAAGCAGTAGCATGTAAGAAGATTTAAGTGAACCATTAGGTATAATAAAATCATCTGAACATAAAAGAAATTTACTGATGTTACCAAATTATTGAAAATGACTGACTATCTTGGCCTCGGGAGCAGCTTAGTGGTACAACACTAGCCTGGCGTGTTGAGGCCCTGGGTTTGACTCCTAGCCAAAAAAAAAAAAAAGCCTGGGTAGATTTGGATAAGGTGTTATTTTTTGAAACAGGACCTCACTCTGAGGCCCTCACAGGCCTTGAACTCCAAATACTCCTGGCTTCAGCCTCCCGAAAGCTGGTCTTTATAGGTTTGTAATGATTATAAGATTGTCACCTGCTTTTTTTTTTCTTGCAGCTGGGCATCAAGTCCAGGGCTTTAAGCATGCTTGGCACATGCTGTACCATTGAGCCACCAGTTACCTTAACAGCAATCAGTAAAGAACACTTTCGTTGTGCTTTAGGAAATCTTTTTTTAGTTGGCCTTGGAATAAAGAGCTTTTCTTATTTATATCTCAAACAAATCAGATTCTTTTGAGACCTCAAACTGTTCAACAACAAAGTGCTCTTCCATGGGCCACTGGGTTTAGCACACTTCTTACCCTAAGCTGTAGAGTGCCACCCCAATAGTGGGACCTCCAGGTAAGATGTGCTGGGCCCTCACAAAGAGGTTCTGAGTTTTCTGATCCTGCTTTTGGACCAGGAAAACAAATACAAAAATCTGTCAGGAGTGACAAACATTTAGAGAAATCATTTTCCAAACAAGCAACTGGAGTTTGACCAAAGATGAAAGCCATAGAACAGCTAGGTGCGCAGTTAAGCCAAAGAGTCACTAGGGCCTCACCAGGTCGCATGGAGCTGACAGAGGTAAGCTTATGGAGCAGCCTTCCAGGTGCATGTCAGGGACACTACTGTGCTGTAGGACTTGGGTGAGGACACTGGCTTGGAGGAGCTCTGCTGAACAGGAATGGAAGGAGGACAGGGGTTTAGAAATAGAGCAGCCCACTCGATTCATGTCCCAATCTGATGTTACCATTTGCCATTTAGCCTCACTGGGCAGAGTTTTAAAACTTCTACAAATCTAGACTATGAAGCATGCATTTATTGGTTGATGTGGGAAGTAGAGAGAGAATGAAAAGTTTTAAAATATTGCCATGTAAAGACTAGAATAAATATGCAAAGAAACAATAGCTCCTGGAGTTTTCTGTTTTCCAAATTTTTTATACTCACTCATAATTTAAAAGTAAGAGTGAACTTAGAAATTTTTAGTTTACTTTCTGAATTATGGCTTTAAAATAATCCTGTCTCTGAATCAGTAAAGTGTATACTTAACACCTTAACCACTCACCAGTTCAATTAGTTAAATACAGGATGACCAAAAATTGCAATTTTTTCATTGACTTTTTAAAGATAACAGGAAATACAAAAATGACAATTTAATCAAGTTTATTCAATACAAGGATCAACTGGTTGAAATGATACCTGCCCAAGTGACTCTCAGGGTAAACTGTTAAGTGGTTAAAAAACCAAAAAGAAAAAACCAGTACTCTCTGCTCCGTGAGACACAGAGCTAGAAGAAACACTGCTGCCGCTCTTAGAATGAAAGTGAGCCAGATTAAATACAAGTTAGGACTTTTGGAACCCACTGGAAAGCCAAGGTTGAAGAGTGACTGGCTGGCCTAACTGAAGGTGAGTGTCAGGCTTCTACGGGGGAGAGGTCACTAGTACTAGTTTACCTAAAGTGATCATTAGTGAAGATGTGAAAGTATGGGCTGGAAGTACAACATGGGGTGGGGGGGCGGTACAGAAACTGCTGGGAGTCCACACCCGCCTGCAGGTTTTTCTACACAGTCGCAACCAGGTATTGACAGAAAACAATGCAAAGAGCCCTAAGAAGTGTCAGCTGTGATGTAGACACAGGAGAAGTATCCAGCATCCTTGGAGAAAGGCACAGAAAACTCACCAGAACCTTCCTCTAACCTGGTCTATGGAATAGAAATTATTCCACTGGGGAGCAGAGAGGGAGTGGAAGGCCAGAAATATTGCTCCTCTCAAGGCACTGGTGAGATGTCACTGCAGCCAAGGAAGGCAACAGGGAAGAAGAATCCTACCCCTGGGGAAGGAGCAGGAATGTCACAGGGCCTGCAACTATCTGGGAAAGGGCAAGTGAACTAACCCTCCCTCCCCACTCCAGCATCTAAAACTACGAACACCAGTGGAATGCCAGTCCCAGCCATATTTTGAACAGCAGCAGAACACTTCGGGGAGAAGGGCAAGAGAGCAACAAAAGAAAAGAGACGGCGCAAGGTATAGCTCAGAGGTAGAGGGTTTGCCTAACATGATGGTAGGGTGGGAAAGGATCCTGTCCAAGACACAGGATGAGGAGCTTGGGACAGGCACTGCTCCGTCAACCTAACCACTATCAGCAATACACAAATGTTTTGCTATAGGAACCTGAAACCACTAAGGTTAATCATAGCTACACCAAGTCTTAAGCTTAACTCCTCACTAGATTAATTCTATCTCTGCAATGAAGGTCTAAGCAGAAAAAAATGCATGCTTATTGTCAGGTGTATCTATACACCAAAGTATCTACTGTTCTACATAAGATGTTATTACTTTTAGCAAAACATAATAGAGGCGTATGAAAAGGCAAAAACCAAAACAACTCACACACTGTGAAGAGATGAAGCAATCACCAGGACCAGACTCAGTTAAAACAGATTTCTGGAACTACTTTTTTTTTTTTTTGGAGACAGGGACTTCCTGTGTATCCCTGGCTGACCTCAAACCTGCAATTCTCATACCTAGGCTTCCTAAATGCTGGGATCACAGTTATGCATTACCAGGCCTAGCTAAAATTTCCAATTGAGTTTCTTTTTTTTTTTTTCATCAATCCTGGGGGTGGAACCTTCAGGCGCACTGAGCAAGTGCTCTACCACGAAATGGCCCTAATTAGCCAGGTATGGTAGCAAATGCCTATAATCCCAGCACTGCAAAACAAAACAAAACTTCCCTTGCCCCCTCCCCCAACTCTAACACACAACAGTAAAAAAAGACAAAAATAAACCCAAAAAAGAACAAGCATGCAAGAGTTGTGAGAATATCAGTGCAATGTATGCATAATTAGAATCCTAGAAGGAAAAGAGAAAGATGATGATGGGTAGAAGAAATAATGGCTGAGAGCTTTCCCAAATTAATGACACACACAAAACCATAGATCCAAGAAGCTCAGAGAACAGCAAGTAGAATAAACACTAAAAACACTACAGCTAAGAAAAAGAAACTTACTCCCGGACGGTTATACTAGTAAATCTTAAGGATATATAATCTATATATATTTATATATCTTAAGGATACATAAATCCAAAGGCTATATACCAATTTACATTATTTTCCAGAAGAGATGTATGAGGTCAGCATTACTCTATAGATATCAAATCAAGCTGGGGATTTAGCTCAGTGGTTCTGCTGCCTGCCTCAAAAGCGCAAGGTCCTGAGTTCGATCCCTGGTACAAAAAAAAAAAGAAGCATATCAAATCAAATGGAGAGAATAAGATTCCAGACCAATATCCCTTATAAATATAGATATAAAAATTCTTAGCAAAATATTAGCAAAACAAATACCAAAACATGCCTGTTAGAATGGCTATGTAACCAGTGACAATTCCCAGTGTTCATGGAATGCAACCACAGTCTGGTATGTTGCCAGTGGGAGTGCAAAATGGTAGTAATACTTGTGGAAGTTTATCAGCTTCTTTAGAATTAAGGAGATACTTTAAAATGATGTAGTGCCCTGAGATCTTGTACCAACTACCTGGAGTTAGACCAAACTTCCCAGGTTCA